TCATGTAGCGAAAAAAACTTATGCTTGCGACTGCGTCTTCCGCTTGGTCAGTGACGAATACATGTTATTCACGCCTTGACGATATGCTTTGTGTCTCAGTAGGTGCATTAGAAAAATGTTAGACGGTAGACAGGAGGACCGTTCCATGATCGAAAGAGCAAGCCCTTTCTCTTGACCCCTCCGTCTTTCTTGCTCGCAATTCACTTGCCGATATTGACCTTTCGAAGCGCGATCGAGGTGCCTTCAATATCCCTTGTAATCACCACTTTTAAAGATGCTACCTGGATGGACAAATAATGGAGAAAAATGATTGAAAAAACGCTGACAAAAATATAACGATGAAAGAGTGAGACCTAATTCAAAAGAACTTTATTATCAAAGGAGGACTTTACTCTAAAAATACCGTCCTCACTTTCCTACAATTCCCGAAACACAGGAGAAGCTGAAATAAATCGAAAGTTCTACCCGAGTAAACTATCCTAGGATGCATGAAATTCATCTTTCTCTCACTTTCAACGGGATGTTTTCACACGATCCGATAACTATTGGGGTCGATGGAACGTAGAATTGACCCTTTCCCAGGCTTTCACTCCTCGTGCAGAGTAAAAGCAGATCGATAGTCGTTTGATTGATGGTCGCAGAACTGGTTTCCTTCCTCACAGAGACTCAGGTTCAAAGGTTCGCCGAGTTACAGGAATATCAAGATTTTGCGTGTCTCCATCGGGTGAAAAAAAAATATCGTTGCCAAGACGAAGTCGAAGACGTATAGACGTCGGTGGGATTGATTAATGAAGCCGGAACCCCAAGCTATGTGACCTTGTTATGCGCGTCATTCGGTGTGAAATTCCGGCCTAATAAGATGCAAAATCTGTCACTGCTAATTACCTCCATGTGGCACTACCATTTCTTATCGATATCTCCTTTTTCCCCTACCCCCCCTTTTTTTTTAACGATATGCAGAAGGTAAAACGAGACGGTTCCACGTGTGACGACGGAGTCCTAGTTCGACGACCCATGATTGATGAGTCTCATAGTTTTTCAAAGCACGAGTCTGCTGTCATATGGACTCATCAATAAAAATTAAACAACGATGTATTCCATCGACTCACTCCGGACCAGCAGTTCGTATGACGCAACGCAGACTTTCTTGACGTAAGATAGAGTTTGAACCGGAACACAAATAAGAGTTCAGTTGCTGATTAACCAGAGGTGCGATTTTCTGCGTTGCATCAGTCGAAAGACTTCGCTAAGTGTTTAGGAGTAATTTTGTGACAAGGCGGAATAATATTTCAGGAATGATATACAGTATTCGCGATCTTATGGCTGCTTGGCCCACATTTTAAGAAAGGAAACTGCGACCGAGAAAAATATTTGATCCTACGAATGCACGGGGGTTGCATTCCTAGAAAAAGATTTACGATAGACGTACCTGCCGATACGGGATGTCTTCTGAGAGGTCATTCTATGTGAAATCTATTCAAACCCGAGTCATATCTAGTGGTGATTTCTGGCAGCTTTAATTTATACGTAAACGTATGGCACAAAGAATTCCGATACTGTTGAAAAGACCTTCACATTTACACACGCGTGTTGTTTCGGGGCTGCCCCCTAGTCTAGAGCCTTGCAGATTTAGCTTGCCGAAAGAGAGAGAGACAAGAAAGAAAGAAAGAAATAAGGAAAGGCGAAGTTTGGCAGGGACGAAGAATGATGAGGAGGTTCTTCTCTCTGATACGAACGAATGGGAAGAATGTACCACCATCCCTACATCAATCACTTCCTCTCCCCCTTACAAGTCTTCCTTCCTTTTTCCTCCACATCCTCGTAATGCCCCTTCCTACTGTACGACCTTCCCGAGCACTCTTCGAAAAGAAAAACTTTCGTCAAAGACTAGGATTGGTGAAGTAGCTGGGATTAATCAGCAGCCGGAAAGAAGCGGATTTTACGAATCGACAAGTCGATAAACCCACCTAAGCTGGTAAATAAAAAAAAACCACAAGCAGGGTTCGCAAAAAGAAAACGTATACTTATCATTATAAAGGAAGAAAAAGTTGAGTGATATGGATGGAATATGGTATTCAAACTCGCAGCATAGGGGAAGGGTCCTACAAATCGCCCAAAGCAAACACCTCAGATTATGAATGAAATGCAGAACAGGATCTCGTATGCGTGGAAAATCGAGCTAAGATTCAAGGTTGTAGGATGATGTGATAGATGTGCTATAGACAAAACTTGGGGAACTCCTAATTAATGAGAGGAGAGAGAGGCTTCACAGAATACGTCTATGTCCTTCCACCTTTCCCTCTTCTGTCTTCCATCTTTTTCTCTTCCATGAAGCCACTTCGCTGTTGTGCCATTGTTGAGTGTGCCTGTGAACTACAATGCCATGCAAAAAAGACATATCTGAAGGCAATGTTACCAAACTCTTAACGTCAGTCGTGGTCTACGTCGACGAAACGCTCGAACAAATGAGCGAAAGAGATATTTTATTTTGCATTCATTGAAAGTAGTTTTAAACGTTTTAATCAGTCGGTGTATATGTTCCAATCTTGGGGGGGGGGGGAGGGAATTTAATTTTTTATTTGATTTTTCTGCCATGTTGCTTTCCTTTTTATCAGAGAATTTCATTCGATTAAATTCATAACGACACGAATGTTCAGGAGCTGTATTTCTTGAGAGAAGAATAGTGAGAAGAAGCTCACAGAAGCATGCAGTCCAAAACGAACAGATAATGCGTCATGCACTTTTACAATATCTAAATCTGCCGTATTGAATGAGATTTTTGGCGCAGCATATTCTCGACACTTGCCTTCATTCATCGAATTTTTATTTTTTCAGACAAACAAAAGACGTCATTCAGTCATGCACTATTGTCAATTGAACTAGACCAATTGCCCTGTTCCTATTCGGGCGTATCACTGATTTGTCATGCGTTGCACGCTCTCGATGAGCAAAGCAGAATTCTGATGAAACAAATCTAATATGCAAATGCTGAAGTTAAGTGGGTATAGGGAAGAAAGAATGTGACATATAAGCACATGATATTTATGATGTCGGCTGGTGACAAAGCGAGATCCAATGAAGAGGCGCACGTGTCTTTCCTCTCTCCTATAATATGCGAGACAGGGAATTCAATATAGGCAGGGGGAACATGGTCCTTTGTCAGGAAATCCCATAATATGACTCTATGCCGTTTTATGAGCCCTTTCTGCCATGGCGAAGGGGGTATTCATCCATTCATTCATTCATTCAACATGCACACGCTTCTGCATCACTAAAATGGATTTCATGGCTTTTAATCCCGCAATCAAGTGCTTGGCTCCTAAAAAGAATTGAATAGAAAAATCTATTATCTCTGAGACAATAAAGGGATCTTTTCTCAGGCGAGAAACAGGTCATGACAAATGGTATCAGGTGTTTCTTTAAGAAGGGTAATAAATCCAATGCAGTATATCTACGAGACCGTCAGAAGAAATGGAATGCAAAAAGTTGATATCTGTATATCTGATAGGCAGACTGCATGAAGAACCTGAATAAACCTTACTTACCGCTTCTTTCTCAATAGTAAACAAGCCTTAAACATCATAGTTTATTTGCGGTTTGGCATTCTTAATGCTACGATTCACTTCTTAATTTCAAGAAGCAGATTTTAGAACTTGATGATCCATTCGATAATTAAATGAAAGTGTTAAGTTTTTGAGACGGCTTTTCACCTCTGCAGGAATGGCGGAAACGTGTGAAGAGAAGAAAATACATGACTGGCCTGTTTTCAAGCCACCCTCGGCAGCTGTCACACGTGTCGAATGCAGGAGATGATGAATCGAGAAGTAGGGTATAAGAGAAATAGGGGAAGCGTATTCTATATGGAAGGGATGGAGTATAGGGGGAGAGATCCAATAAAAGCGGGTGGAAGGGGAGGACATGAGGAGAGATGATGGCTCTTAATGTGACACGGAGTCTCTTTAATGAAAACGCATCCCTTTGACAAATGAGCCACAGGCCGAGAAAGCCCCCGTAATTGATACTTGGCTCCCACTATATATGATGCTGCACTTCTATGGACTTGATGGGCCCGCAAACGGTCTCTTGGAAATAAAACGCCTGCAAACAGCGAAACCTTTCTAATCTACCAAAACGAGCGACTCTCGATTCCTTGAATACGATCTTGGTAATATGCACTTTTTTGCATCAGTCAACATGTGATACGAATTAAGGGGCTGAATCTGAATGGTCAACATATCACTGCTGATTGGAAAGCCTTGATCGGTCAAGCGAACTAGACATTCCTTAATAACGATCATGCCTTCAATTAAACCTGGACTTGATGAGAAGGTCAAGACTAAGATGGAAGTTCACTCGAGGACGAAAGAAGCTTGGGTGGCGGGTAAAAATATAAAAAAAAAACGTCCGGGGGGGAGGTGGGGAACACTATCATAAGGAGGGAGTCCACTTCTTTCTCTGACTCTGCGATTGGTCGGTGCTGGTTGCCATAGCAACGCTTGATCCCGCCCATTCGCCCGGCATCAAGAGTAGGCCTATAACGAGGCATTAGCGAATGGGCCACGCGCACGCCTTCGCCCTTGACTTCACTTCAGTCTCCCTCCCTGCGGCGACAGTGTAATCTCCGACTCACGGCCGGTGCTCAGTTTACCAATCCACGCTTACGCAGCCAACGCATTTTTCCTTTTCGAAGCCGCCAATTCGTGATTCATTCGCAAGTCGGTTACAGTGAAGCCGATCATAGTGTTGACTGTTTCCGTAAGCACGATATCCTTATATTACTCAAATAAAACAGGTCTATATTTATTTGTCTGTATTGACTCGCAGGTATGTACTTGGAACCCTCTTTTTTTTTTGGAAAGAGCAGTTATTGTCACCATAGGCGATCTTCCACAACATTCTTCACTTCTCGCCTGAATCTTCTTTTTCTGCATCTACATTGATAAGGTGATTCATACTCCAGTTTCCAAGAACCGAAAATAAGCGCGAAGCTCGTGTTGTGTGCAAGTGCATATCTTGGGACCTGCTGTGCTTCAAGTATCACCGGATGTATGTACAACAGGACAGACCAATCGAGGTGCGTAGGTTCTATTGTTGTCGTACAGAATGAGCTGTGACGTGATGTATGCACCACTTCATTCCGCATATTTCCCTTCCCCATACCAACGATCTCCCATCGCCAATGCCACACCTTCCCCGCCTTGCCAGGAACAAGTAAGTCCGTTGACATTCACCGTTTCATCCTATAACGAACATTCTATGCACTATATAGAGTATACCATCACATACCATCATGAATTTTAATTGGTAAATGAAGAATAAAAGGGGAGAGGAGGTACATAAAGCAAAACATCGAGACTCGGTGAAGGATGTGGGATAGGTATAGTGGGGTATAGTGTCAATGTGGAAGATGGTGGACGGTGCTCGGGATAAGGGTGGGCCGATCATCCAGTCCATCTTGCTATTTTACCTATTTTTATTTATTTAAACCATGTGCCAAATTTATTATGCTCACGTTTCTTGGTGGAAATTTATTGAAGTTTGAAGCAATAGCCGACGACAGCTTTGCTCTGAGAGGCAGATGCACACAACATACAGCTGCGCAATTCTACGAGGAGCCTCACTTCTCATTTCGAAGGAGGCTTGCAATGAAAGCACGTCATGCATACATTGAAAAAAACCTGTCCATAACTGTGCCCTATGCCTATGCCCTATGCCAAAAATCAATTTCCTGTGAGCAGGAAAAAATCCAGGAGAGACAGACATGTGCACGCACGCGCGAAAAAAACAAAACAAATGCTATGGCTCCTGTCTTTATACTAGTATATATATACGATATAACTCGTATATATATCTATAGGCTTCGGTAATTTAAATTTAAATGCGACGAAACTGCACCAAAGGCTAAAGGATGAATCCGTGACCTTACTTTCGTCTCGTTTTGGAAACAGAAGTACAAACTGCAGCAGCAGCAGGGAAGAAGCCCGACAACGTGCAGCGACTCGGATTCCAATCCATGTCGACCGAGCCCGGCAAGTTTTCCGTCCGGTTTCCCGTCGTCTCCGCCGACTGAGGAACCGGCGGACGAGGAACTCCAGAGAGGGAAGACAACTTACGTGAATGGAAAGTGCATCATTTACACATATTATAGGGGAGACATTCAAAATGTGGTGGATCAACACTTCACCAAAGCCCTCAATCTCCGCCGAGCCTGCCCCGTCAACGCCAAAGACGAACCCGGAAAAGGTAGAGAAATGTCTTCTCATCAATTTCCAGACTACAGAGTATACCCTGAATACGTTCGAATACGGCGTGATCCGAAATGCATGCCTCGATGAAAGACCTTGTAACGCTCGCTCCAATTATTGAACAATTATTGGAGAGTCACGAGAATAGTCATAGAATCAGTATCGTGATTTTATATATAATCTCAATTGTTCCTATCTTCATAATTTCAATTGTATCCGAATCATCTAACCACGACTGATGCCATTGCGGCAAGACTTATATCGTATACGAGAACGTAAACCAGTTCCTTGCATCGGAAATGAGGTTCAAAGTTTCATGGTCACTTCGCGGAGTCCAAAATGTTTTTACCTTCGGTATATGGGAGTTCAGGACATGTCGCATAGTTTCCCATCGTTTAACGAAAACGAAAACAAGGGAGAGAAGCAAAGATGAAAAAGCCCCCTTGATAAGGGAAAGGGTATTTCTTTTATCAAACGCATAGATCGCATATTTCATCCCACCCTCTAATTGCCTTGGCTGGGACTCGTTTTCATGCATCATGACATTTTTATTTCCTCAATTATTTTCCTGGCGGTAGACACAATAATTTTGAGTCGGAATTCCGATGCAACAGAAGTTTTTTTGCGGCAATCCCTCGGAAATTTTTATATTATCTGAATTTCGCAATGAGTTTCCCGATCCGAAAATTTTTCTGGAAAACAGTAGGCTTAATGAAGGTGTATATACCATCAGGATTAGTTTGAGAATGAAAGGAATTTAGTTTTGTTGGGAAACCTGGAGCCGACAGAGTACATCTCCTGGGAATGCTGGAAGGAATGCTGAAAGACATCAACAAAACTCCTTAGGAGATAAATTTTTCCCTTCATGCTGAGCCGAAACAGCTTCTTGTAGGGAGGGATTTCTTCACGCAGGACCGGAATATAAAAATATACCCTGGCGGATGATAATTATCGCCATCACGAGAGAGAAGGAGAACGAGTCTTGAGAACACGGAACATGACTTAGTAGCAACAAGTATCGGAGACAGAAATTATTCGTTCCCATGAAGAACATAACGGACCTGTAAATCTGGCTCCCTAGCATTCCTTCCACTTGTCTCCTGGGAAAAAAGACAGAAGGAAAAGTACGAAGAAAAAAATTAGGACAGTCTCTCGAAAGGGCACGACGCGATACAGCAGCGGACCTAGGATGTAATTGCGAGGAGATGCAGGGAACCGATAGGTTAGCTGGCGGTGAGCTGGGGTTTTTTTCAAAGGATGCGGCTAGGTCTTTGATCTCGTTTATGTGTCCCTCTCGGACTGGATATCATCCGGCTCCATCGTTTCCTCTTCTTATCCCCTTCTTCCTACTCCGCTTTTTTGCTACTGCTTAGCCGCCGTTTCAATCTCACATTTTCAGACAGTCCGGTCTAAGAACATTTCTACGTTCCTCCGAATGCCGAATATTCAAGCAGCTGATGCGGGAAACTCGAAAACTTGGAGAGAAAAAAAGGCAAGCGTCCTCAAGTTTCAGCTGTCCATGAACAATCTCAAGCTCTTTATCTGGAAATATTTGGAACGTAGGACGACTCGGGAAGCAGATGCGTCAATAAATTTGGAGTATACACTGTCGTATTTAAAATTTAATTTGCAGAAGGTTGTGGTCGACATCCGACTCATAAGCCATTGCACGGCGCATCAAAGGTCATAGAACCCAAATGCTGAGTAACATCCGAAATTGCAAGAGTAATGCGCATTACTTTTGCATCTGCAATGCGTCATGATCGCCAGCTGACTTCATATTGCATTTTCAGGAAGTACGATTTATGACAGTTTTTGAGAGTCATCTGCGAAATTTTGCGTGCATGAAGTTCTGTTAGCGGAAAGAGACATCGTTTGACGTCGTTTCCACATTTGACGTCACTAGGAGCCACATGGTCATTAGAGTTTGCATTTGGTACCTATAAGTGAACTTGACGAGGAAGAGAGACCATAACAAGTCGTTCCAACCCCCGACTGAAATGACGTCGCAAGTTTCTCACTTTTTTTTTTAGCTCGTTTCTTTTTTCTTTCTGATTTCACTCCTCATTTGAGATTTGTGTCCTCGTTACCCAGACGTTTTGGAATCCTTATATCAATACATTGTCACCAGTATCTACGCAAGGGGAAACCATCGCAATGATACTGGGAGATCGTGAAAAAGCGGCGACATCAGCCAGTCCACCTGCCCACTTTCTGTCCAAAAGTGGATGGGCTTAAACATGGAAGGGACCACCTAAGACAATTACATGAGGAGGTTTGTCACGGAGAAGTTGACCTTGAAATTTTCCTGGCTCCCGGAAGCGCACCTGTGACAACGGAAGGCATGCCCGGAATTTCAAGACCTGATTCGCATATTCTATTTCACGCATTGAGAAAAAAAAAAACAGACTGTCTCTTGGGTGATTTATGATTACTATAGACATTTCACCCTGCAACCCTTTTTTTACTCTCTCGAGATTCTCGGATCCACAAATCATAAAATATCAGGGAATGACCATTCCACGTATGTTCGTACGCCTACTGCGTAACCCTGTATGATGTTGAGGGCAGAGGGATACTGCGAAGATAGCCTCGGAGCACGACTTGGAAGGCAATCCATCCGTCATGGGGTAAAGTGAGACAGACTGACGCAACCGGATCCAGAAGAACGACACTTACGGAGCCACATGAATGGGCCACATGTGTGCCGAGGTCAAAGGTCACTTCAAGTCGGAAGCCTCATCTGCTCCACACTGATGGATCGCCTCCCACAGAGGGGGAACATGAGAAAAAAAGAAAAGATACGTATAAGTCTTGACTGCGTTCGCGTGCTGCCTATCCGTCTGTATGTCCTTGTAGAAGCTTATAGGCCAATAGGCAACCATGCGGGCAACAATGACTTCTCAAGTTCAGCGTCATCATGAAGCCATTACAGTAGCAATTCATCATAACTGGAATGATTTTATTTAAAATGTTTCCCCTGCACTGCAGGAGAACGATGATAAATGATGTGTTACCGTATGGTACAAGTTACACGGTGGCTGAGTTGTGACCTTATTGACTGTCGGAATACGATGTGACATCAGCATAAAATAACCAAACTCCCATTTAGGTTTCCATCCAGAATATAATCCTAGGCATATTGTGATATAAAGATGATCATGTAGATTATAAACAAATGGTGAATCAAGCGCTAAAAAGATGCAGGGAGAAGAGAAAAGTAATGCAATAAAACCGCTGTGAAGACAGTGATCAAAACCCATGAAATAAACACATAGGTCACATTATAGAAGCTTACTGGCATATGAAAACAGTGAAGAGTCTGATCTTCAAGAAGCATTACATCATAGTCAGACAGATGATGGATGCGGTAACATCGTAAGCAATTAAAATTTTAAAATTAATATCGACAACGGATCCCGATCCACAGGATTCAAGAGGAAAGACCGGCTGTGAAGAGGATGCCAATCCATTGAAAAATCTGAGAGAGATCTTGTTGCTCTCGTTTATCAGGGGAAATATCGCAAAAGTGCCGCCGAACGTTTCTACGATATAAGTCATTTGTTTTTATATCCAGTGGACAATGTGAGGGACTCCGTGACCACCTTCTCAATGGCCTCACCTTTCAGTTTGGAAGTCTCCCAAAGTTTATGCTTAGAAATAACGCAAGAGACGGATGGGAAACCATACAGTCTGTCCACGACCAGTCCCTTGGTTGTTTTTCCCTCTTGTTTCCCTCCTGTTTCCCCGTTGTGGAGAACGTTATCTGCTATTCCAATGTTGAGTCTGTCCGCATGAGTCAAAAACAATTCAAGACAGTTCAAGAGGACAGAAATCTTTTATTTTGGTTCCAAATTAGTAAAAGCATGATGCTAATTCGATTAAGACGAATAAGAGACTCGCCCTTTAACAACTCATTTCATTTTAAGGGATGGGATAGCTTCAAGCGCTGTCGATACCAAGATTTCGAAGTTAAGCTCATTTGCTGCTGAGAAGCTTCGGTTTTCTCGATGTCATTCGAGGGCCTGGGAGAATCTTTTGACAATAATCATGGGGTCACACTTCACGTGAAGCAGAGTTTCCCATTTCGCCGACTCGAAAAGGGTCCTAGATGGTCTGCGGCTTCGTTACAGAAAGAAGAGTCATTGCGTGAAGAAGACGGGGTGGGTGGAGGAGGCCACATGTGGGGGTGTGTTATGACATGACACCGTATGAGGGAAATTCGAGTCCCCGTGACCACACTCCCAAACACTTCCGCTCCTTAACTATACAGTCTCCTCTTCTCATGTGTATCCTCTCCTTCCTGCCGCATCCTCATCCTCTCTCTCTCTCTCGCTTTCCGTGGATTGAGCTATCGCGCAGTCACTGATTTCTGTGCTGAGGAGGTTCCCCTAGGCATTAGGTAGTGGCGCAACCAAGGTTTTCATCCTGCTTGGCCTAGCTAGTCATCCTCCCACAAAACCATGAAGATAAAAGGAAATGAACAATTTAGACTGCTCTAATGGCATAAGAAGCCAAAAGGACATCAAAACAAGCCATATTTCAAAGATGGCCAAATCACGGTTCCTTGGCAGTCCGAGTGTCCATATGATTTTGTTGTGCGACTCTTACAAGAACAACAAGTTTGGTCACCCCATTCTTTTAGGTGGAAATGATGAAAGTCCGATCTGCACAAGACTTCTGATTTATTTCTGAAGTTAGGGTAAACCTGGATTTGTTCATTCATTTTATACTTTTTGTTTAGAGTAAATAGTGAACATGTTAAAATACTTTTAGTTTACATAACATTTTTCAACTTTAATGGGATCTTGAATGAAATCTTTCATGTTGAGCATTAGGCCTCGTTCGTTCACATTGGGCTCACTGCGTTAGGAGATTCTCTTGTCAAATATTGTAGCAAAAGTTTTCTTTCGATGATATACTTTCTGAAGGCATTATACAAGATGACAATGGACAGACTGGACTCTCCAATTTATTCATAAAATATTCTCTCAATCAAAAAATTGCAAAACCCGGAGAAATTGCATCGTAGGCGGTATTGTATTAATAGAATAGGACAAGTCCCTTCAGATTCACAATTGACTGTGGCC